AGTTATCAATAAACCCATTCACCCAAGCCCCACACCCAAGTGATAACTTTTCTAGAGATCTGTGTCAAAATTTAATGGTGATCCTTTGGGGTCCCACTCACATGGGTGTGGGAGGGTCTCATGGTGTCATTGCTCAAATGTTTATCCAGGCTTTTAGCTAAAGGAGCAAATGTATTCATGTTGAAATACACTATTATATGCTCATGTTGAAATACATAATGTGCTTATGGTTAAGAAAAGGGATTGTACACTATTATGACCATCATCATCATAGTCTTTTTTCAATTATTTGGGGTTTGCTACATAAATTCTGATCCGTCATTTTACAATATCAAGGTCATACCCTTTGTGAGACCATAAGTCCCTTCTTGTTTTTTTTAATTACTTTAGACAATGTCCTTTTAGGCTTACCCCTTGCTTGTTTTGAGCCTTCTATTTGAATTAATTCGCTCTTCCTAACAAGTACGGTACTGGGATTACGTTGTACATGCCCATCCAACCTAAGTCTATTTTCTCTCATCCAATCGCTGATTAGAGTCATACCTAAGTTCTTCTGAATGTATTAATTTAAAAGTCTATCCCTTCTTTTAGTACCACTCATCCATCTCAACATCTTCATCTCAATTACACTCATCCTATGGGTATGTTGTTTCTTTACCGCCCAACATTCTACCCCGTAAAGTAATGCTCGTCTCACAGCTATCTTATAGAATTTTCCCTTCAACTTCATTAGTATATGATAATTACATAAAATTCTAGTTGCACATCTCCATTTTGTCAACCAAACTCTAATTCTATGTGCATCATCGTCCTCAATCTCTCCACTTTTCTGGATTAACCCAAAATATAGGTTTCTCTTTGTTACAAAGTCACAATTGTTTCTAATAATTAGATGTCAACTTGGATGGCTTGAGGTGTATCACAAAGTTCGAGATCATTTTTTAAATTTTGAGTCTAGTCAATTATACTCTTGCACCCACCCGTTTTAAAATTTTATGAACAAGAGTGTTTGCGACTTTCTTGATCCAAAAGTAAATAGTCTATTTATATACTTTTCCAAAAAAATAATAAGTATACAAAAATACTATTTACTCTTAGCACAACGAGGTTGCCATTACTTTTGGGTGTCAAATTTTAAAGTAGTTGGTTGTAAGTGTGTCACTTATTTAGGAAAAGTTTATATAAAGTTGCAACTTTAAAATGTAGAATTAAGGTGCACTTGAGAAATCCATTGAAAATAGTTGTTTTGATGCTGGCAAATTATCTAATTGATCTTCTCAATATTAAGATGTATAATATAAAAAAAACGAGAAGATTTTGAATCACAAAAATAGTAAATCTTGCAACAAAGTAACTACACTATCCATTTTCAAGATTTTCATATGTTTATATATTTACTTAATTTTCACCTATCCATAGAGTTTAAATTTTATAATTAATTATAAAAATCGAGTATTAGGCCATTCCAAAAGTTTTTGACACTAAAATTACATTAAATAAAATTTCGAGATTAAATAAAATTTCGAGATGTTCCTTAATTTGATTTCTAGGTTGCAACCTAATGCAAACCACACCCATGCATTTATTTTTAAAATGACAAGGGATGTTATAGACATTACGACAAATGTTTGGCGTATTTGGTCATTTGTATTAATTAGAGGTGGCTAAGAAATACTGCATAATTGAATTAAAATATTAAATTTAGAGTCTTCAGGCGTTGTTTTGAGAGCTTTGCTGAGCGCTCTCTCTCAGATCCAGCCCTAAACACCCCCCATTTTCCTATCATTTCTTTAACTAAAACCTTTGGATTCTCTCTCTAGAATTCCTCAATTGGTAGTTAATTTTTAGGTCCAATTCTGCTTTCTAGGGTTTATCCTGATCGAAATCTGTTTTTCATTTGTAGACGGCAAGTTTCAAGGGAATTTGTAAGGTTTAATCAAGGGTTTTTCCTATCTGAGTAATCTGCTAATGAGTTTGTGAGTTTTTTGATGCTTTAATACTCTGCAATTCCTCTTCAAGGTTAAAATTTAGCCATAGGTCTCCCTTTGATTTAGCTTCTGTGAGGATTGGTGAGGTGAAAATAGCGGTAATTTTTTTTGGGCGAAGTGAAGCAGATTGATGGGATTCTTGTAGTGATCAAGGGATTAGAGTTTTTACTGGTGGATTAAGAGTTTTTAAGGTTTTTATATCGACATGGATACTAGCAGAAGAGCTGTGGAAGCTTATTGGAGGTCCCGCATGATTGATAATACGACAACTGATGAAGACAAGGTCACACCTGTGTATAAGCTCGAGGAGATCTGTGATCTATTGAGTACTTCTCATTTTACTATAGTGAAAGAGGTCTCAGAGTATATACTGAAGAGGTTAGAGCACAAGAGCCCAATTGTTAAGCAAAAGGTATGTTTCTCCTATTGCTTTGGTGCATCTCCTTCAATTTCTACTATTTAGTTAGTATTTTTATCTCTTCCTCGTTTGTTCGTGGTAGTTTCATTGAAAACTGATGTATTTTTCTTTAGCTTGTGATTATTGTGATAATTTTGGATGATTTTTATAGTTTCATTCATATGTCCTGATATATTCATTGTAATTTATGGGCTTATGTGTATGTACTTAAAAAACTATGATTGATTCTTTTGAGTGAATGGATGCAGGGATATACAAATGCTCACCGCAACTGTCTAAAATTCTGATCTGACTCACAATCTTAGTATGCTAAGTATTCAACATATTGGAAAAAGGGTCATAAATCTGCAAATTTATGGTTATTGAATGATTCTACTAATAAGATGAATGGTAGTCATCATCAGTCTCATTTTTAGGAGAATGAAATCGTAGGCTAACATAGCATTGTAATATGGAGGGGCCAAAAACCATGGGCTCCTCACAGCTTCAAAATTATGGTATATTGTACAATGCAAATTATACTATAAATGTAGGCTGTGTATATAGAACTCACATAATCTCTTTTTAGGAATCACTGAAATTTAGGAAATTCATGTTTAATTAAGATTAAAATCAGAATAAGAGCCTTAACTATGTATATTCTACCGAATAAATTTCATGTGTTAATGCCATTTGGTGGCTAGGACTTATATAGAATGCATAATTAATTTCTTCTGAATTTATCCGTCATTTTGGCTCAGTGTTTGATCCATCAATTATTAGATGACCCCTGCATTTTTCATTATTTTTGCACTTGAGTTTTGAACCCACCCTTGTCACTGGAATCACATTACATTTCTCATCATTTTATTTTTTTGAATAATATAAATTTTGAAAATGCCCCCATGTGCTGTAAGCAATGCTAATTGTTCAATTAGATTTTCATCCTCCTCTTTTGCTGATTCTGGCTACTTTTTCATTCAATGGAGTTTTGTGGTGGCTGTGTCTTCCACTATCCACTATATTGATATATTTTTGGGTAACTAACTAACTATTACTGTATTTATATTGCTTTTGATACATCATATATGTAGGCTTTAAGGCTGATTAAGTATTCAGTGGGGAAATCTGGAGTGGACTTCAGAAGGGAAATGCAACGACATTCAGCTGCAATGCGCCAGCTTTTTCATTATAAAGGACAGGTTGACCCTTTAAAGGGGGATGCCCTCAATAAGGCTGTTCGTGATACTGCTCATGAAGCCGTCTCTGCAATTTTTGCTTCAGATGAAAAACTTCCCCTCAATGAAGACATTAACCGGCGAATACAAGGTTTTGGGAATACTAATTTTGAAATGCCATCCGAAGAGAAGAAATCTTTCATTAGTGAGGTGGTAGGCCTTGGAAGTGCTTCTATTATACAGGGTCTGAACACAATCACTGCAGCTCATTCATCAAAGAAAATGGATAATGGAAGTTACAGGAGTCCAAATTTACGAAGATCACTGACAACTGAGACGGATACCTTGGACAAATATGATAGAGAAGAACAGTATAGAGAACACTGGGGTGCTTCAGATTCGTCTAAAAACAAATCTGGGACTTGGAGCCAAGATTCAAGACCAAGCGAAATGGAATCGAGAAATGGTGATTATGGTGAAAGTCAAACAGTTGGAAAGAGTCGTGAGGAAAGACTCCTGGAGACCATTGTTACATCTGGTGGTGTGCGTTTGCAACCAACTCGTGATGCAATTCAGGTTTTTCTTGTAGAGGCCTCTAAGCTAGATGCTTTGGCGTTGAGTCATGCAATTGAAGCAAAGCTACAATCACATTTGTGGCAGGCATGATGCATCCATCCTTTCATTCCTTGTTTTTATTTCTTTTGCATGTTCTCTATAAATTGGTTGGATACTACTTTTTTGTTCTACACCCATATGTCCATGTGCATGTGTTTGTTGAAATTGTTTATGCTAACTTTTATCTTTTCATTTTTTCCTTCATACATTTTACTTCATGTATAGATAGGAATATTGGGATTCTTTCCTATTCTTGCAATCATTTGCTCATGGTTTGTTCATGGTTCCATGATATAATTATTATTATTATTTTATTGTTATTGTGATTACTACTACCACTACTACTACTAGTATTATTCTTGAATGTTATCTTGGGACCTAGTAGGAATGGAACTCAAGGCATCATGTTTTGGCTCCCACCACCTTGACTACCTATTCCTTGAGCTCGTTCCCATACTTGCAAGACTTAATTGTCAACTCTCTAAATCACTATGATGTGATTGTCTCTTGTCTTAGTTTCACCATTTTCTCTTTTTGGTTTGTGGTGATGAGGTTTCATGAATATCTCTACTTCAGGTATTGAAATTTAATGCATCTATTTTTTTTCTTAAAGAAAAAAACTTAAATTGGAATGCCTGCATACAATATGTGAAGTACTTGCTCCACATACGTATCAAACACAATGGCATTATCATATTTTTATGTATGGATGTCGATTGAGTTGAAGATAACTGCGTCTGTTTACGCTCAGGTATTGTAGTGTTTATTAGTCCATTATCCATGCTGTTATTTGATTGCATTTTAACAGTAGCAGTGCACAAGAAGGGGTACCAAGTGTTAATCATGAAACTATGTTGTGTATCCATTTTTGGTGACAAATAACCACTACAGGAGCAGTGCTATTCTGGTGTTAGGTACCTTTGTTACTCTTGTTTGTAGGGTATTATAAAGGTACACACCTAAAATCTGAATCTAACACGTAGAAATATGACTTCTTGCTGTTTTGTCGTAGAATGACAATCAGTACTCTGATCTTGTATTGTCTTCTTTAGTAACAATTGCAGTGGCCTAGACATATACAAGTAGTCCAATGGAACAGATAATTCCCACTCTTAAATCTGCCATCAAAATCCTGTTAAAAATATAGATATTCGTATCGCTAACTTCCTTCTGCACATGCTAGAATGAAATCTTTTGAGAGCTGCCAATATCTTGAATTTCCTCCCCTATACAAAGAATCCTCCATTGTTCAGGGCACTGCTCAGAAATCTCAGTACATGAAGATATTTTCTTTTGATAATAATGAGGGTGTGAGAGAAGGCCCCAAGGATGATCGCCCATCAAAAAAGTATGATGGCTGTTGTATCTATTGAGTCTGCTAAGATCTGGGTCATATTACTCAATTTTTGCATTTCCACCCTTTCTGGATTACCAGCAAGCCTCTTTCTGAATTAAAACTTCCACAACTTTAAACTTCTTATGAGACGCTGCACTTTTTTAGATTGTCCATTCTTTAATGACTCCTCTAGCCTTATCCGTCTAAACTCTGTTCATACTAGAACACATTAGACAATGCTAATTTCAATGTTCTTGTTCCCCTCCAGCCTGACGTTCATCACTCTTTTTCAGGTTTGCTATTAATCTTCCCCTCCATGTTCAATATTTAAAAATGGCTTGGAAGTAATACTTCAAAAATAAATAAAATGTAACGTTGCTTTCGAAAAAGGCCTGGTGTCCACAAAAATCTCAAAGCCTCAAGTCTATAGTATTGCCTAACGGATTCTAAGACTTTTCTGGAGGCAATTTCAAACTCCTCCAATGAAATTAATGTTCACACGAAGTTGATCTGCCATCTCTTCTTGCTTGCTCACACAATTGTTTGGCTACTGGACTCCACTGTTTGAATGCTATAAAAAAAGAATGCCGTGTCTGAATCTTGTTTCCTGTAAGGATCCTGCCCTGATCCACATAATTACAGGATGCTGCTTCCACGGCAGAGTATCGATACTCCTCAATAGCATCCTTGGAGATATGCCATTACTTTTACCGTATTTTTTTTTGAACAGAACATGAATCCAGCTGCATGATGCCAGCTAGAAATGTTTTATGCAAATGTGCAAATGGCCCATCACTCTTTAGATTTCCAACTCCTCTCCTACCCCCTGCCCATACGCGCAAAACAAATATTTTTCCTATCTGTGTTTCTACGTATCACCTGAATGCAGCTTGATATATACTTCTCCCTCCAACATAATGTTACTTGTCCAAAAGAAAAAAATGGAAACTCTCATGCAAACACAGCACTGAACTCCCATGCCTACACCTATCTATTATCCCTCCTAAGAAGCATGGAAACCCCTCTGGATCCCGAGGAATGTCATCAATCTGATATTCCTCAAATTACATTTAAGCGAGGTCTGGGTCAAATTTGCTGAACTGTGCCACCATCCACAAGAGGGAGGGAGACCCCCACCAAAAGAAAGAGGACCCCTCCCCCCAAACCCAGGAAAAAAGAAGTGGAACCCCACCAAAATAAAAAGGCAGGGATGCATAATGACCTGTGAGTCTATGTATTTGCTGTGTTTATTTCTGAATCATTTGAAGCTAGATTAGATATCCTGATCAACAATCGAGTTCTGTTATCTCATCTAGGATCCCTATTTGTTTGTCATATATGAATGTTTGTGATTTTTGTCTAAATTATTATTGCATTTTTGAATTCCACTCATTAGTTTTATGGTTTAGGTTCTGTAATTAGTCCATTACCGTAGACAATATTCCATGATGTCACTTTTATCATCTTTTACCTATATGATGGTTTACTAACGTATTAGATTTGCAATTTGTGGCAGGTTCGCATGAAAGCTGCATGCGTTCTTGAGTCGATTTTGAGGAACAAAGAAGAAGAAACGTGTTTTGCTATAGTGGCATCATTCTTTAGTGAGAATAAAGATGCTATCATTAAATGCAGTGAGACTCCCCAAAATTCTTTAAGGGAAAAGGCAACAAAGGTGTGCATCATTTCACTTAGATATGTTTTTGTTAGTTGATCTAAACTATATGTTGCCTGGCAAAACATCCTTTCCAGTGCCTGCTAGTAGATCAGCTATGTAAAGGATTACATGATATTGCTTGAGATAAGAAAGGGGTTACTGGAATTTGGGTGGGGTGGGGGGGGGGGGGGGGGGGGGGGGGACATCTTTATGGGAGAAGTAAAAATGTTTTATTTTATTTGTTTTAGTGATGAAATGTGTTCAAGAACCTTTGATATGGTTTTTGATGTGTGACACTCATTGATGAGGTGCAATTTGGATTCAAAAACATCAAGAAGGCAGATTTTCTAAGGAGATTTCGGAACTTCTCGTGTTCTAAGTGTTCCTTTCTTATGAGGCAACTTTCAGTTTGGTTGATACAATGTTTTGTCTCGTTGAATTTTGAAATAAATATTGGTACTCTTTTTCCACTCTGATAATTTTTTTTTCCAATAAAAAATGCAATGAGGTAATTGATTTCCATTGGGACTCCTATTCTCACATCTCTTGTATGATTACGTAATTTGATAAGATAACAGTTCATTTCATGTAATTTTTTGAGTTTTTCAATAAATGATAGCTTTTTTCTCAGATTGGTTGTTTTCAAATGCTATTATGATTGCATTCTGACTATTCTCCTGGGTATCTTTGGTGAATAGGTATTAAGCCTTCTCAATGGAGATCATGTACCGGAGTCTAAAAGTTCTGCAAGGGTGCAATCCAAAGATATAACAACCAAAGCTCCAGCTGTTGAGCTACCCGACTTGATCGACACTGGGAATTCTGATTCCATTCTTCTTGATACCTTAAATTCTTCTCAAAACCAAACCAATTCCGACATCCCAAACACAACCATCGCAGCTCCCCCTATGATTGATGATCTCTTTGGAGATAACTCTATGACTGTTCCTAGCAGTAGCAACAATACAGCTGAAGAAGAATCTGATCCATTTGCCGGTGTCTCATTCCACAATAATGCAGTCATAGATGGTGGAAATATTGATGACCTTTTCTCGGGATTAACTGTAGATGACAAGCAATCTAGCAATGGGGTTAATATCCCTGAAAGCAAGGGGACACAAGGCTTATTTGATCTTTTCACTGCAAATTCCTTACAGTTTCAGCCAGAATCTGCCAAAGACTTGAACAAATTAGTGGGTAACCTTTCAACCGGTGTACCTGGCCAACCAAACCAACAAATCAATGAAACAAGCCAAACAAAGCATCATTCCCTAAATAGTGATTTGGGATCTCAAGGAATCAACCTAAACCCTAACTTTTTATACCCATCGGGTCCCTTTCAATACAATTTACCTCCAAATATCATGGTGAATCAGCCTTTGGCCTCCCAGCAATTGAATTATGGAGCAATGGGGAATTTGTTTGCACAACAACAGCAGCTACTCGCTACCATGGCAAATTTTGCAAATTTGCAACAGTTTGGGGCTGTGAGTGGGCATGGAAATATGGGATTTGGCCAATCTCTTGGTGGAATGGAGGGAGGGGGTTATGGTTCGGCAATGCCTGATATCTTCACGCTCCAGAGTGATCCTGTTCAGACTCGGGGTTTCGTGGGTGCTGATAGTTCAAAGAAAGAGGAGACTAGAGCTTTTGACTTTATATCGGTAAAGCTTTTTCCCTTTGTTGGCTTATTTTTCTTGTTGGAAAATGGGATGCATTTACATTATGGTTAGGATGGTTTTGTAGTTTTTGGTTTCTGTTTGAAGGTTTGCTGAAGCAGTTATCCAGAACACACACACTCTCTCTTCCCCCTCCTCTTCCTTTTGGTTTGTTTGTCTGTTGTTGTGAAGCAGTTTATTCTGTTCTAGTTTTAGGATCAATTTTTTGTTTACAGATAAAACAAAATTCCTAAGAATCGGATTTTGGTGGAGATGATTAAAACAGTAACGTATTTTGATCAGCAGCATTGCATGGTTATATAAATCTCTGAACATTGTATAGGTGCTATAGGATTGCTTGAATCTCTCCTGATTCTTTTTACTTATTATTCTGCATTGTGTATTCTTCAATATGTTAACTTCTTTTTTTTTTTTTGGAGATGTTCTTATGTATTTTGACATTGGCACCTGAATATATGTGACAGGACCATCTTAGTTCAGCTCGTGACCCAAAGAGAGTATTGTAAAAAGCCTTTACCAATGCAACATGTTTGTTTGAAGTTTGAGGAGGGGGGGTCCTGCTTCTAATGTCCACCAATTGGAGGCAAGACAAGGTCTGTACTTTTATTTCCTATGCCTTGGACATATATTCATTTTTAATAATCGATTTTATAAGAGCAGATTTAGCTGCTCAGTCTTTAATTTCTGGGATGGGTTGGACTGTTTTGAGAGAGAGAGAGAGAGAGAGAGAGAGAGAGAGTTAAGGCTGCATTGAATGTTGTGTTTGTAATATAAAGTGAAAGTAAATGGGAAGTTGTAATTTTGTAGGTAATTATGTAATGCAGCGTTATGAGGGACCCTTCGTAGGTAATTATGCAATGCAGCGTTACGAGGAACCCTTTGTAGGTAATTATGTAATGCAGCGTTATGAGGGACCCATATTTTAGGGAAGTTATCAAAATCCATAAATTGTTTTTGACTATTTAAGATGTTTTCCTATATTTTCTTTACTTTCAAAATACTCATCAAAATACACGTGACCATGAATTGGTATGGGCTGGATACCATGGAAATGTATAGCTGATTTTATCTCAATTTTTTTGTGTGAATTGACCATGTCTGCTAAATATGGGGTTCATCGATGAATTTCACTTGTGTATCTTTCTCCGTCCATCTTGGCTCTATGCTATAAGTCGGTTGGCTCACATTATCATTTTTCACTCTTAATTGTTGATTATATGCTTCCCGGATTTGATATCTGATGGAAATATGTTCTCAGGACAAAATGTGTGTGCCTCAATACACTACAAGCTCCCCTGAGTATTAATAGAGAAGATATATTGATGATTCATAACTGCTCATCTATTTATGTGAGTCCTCCCTCTGAAATCTTAATGATGCATTTTGGATCCAAAATTTTTATGAATGTGAATGTAACAAAAAATAATAATAATTCTAAAAAAATAAAAAATGATATTTTTTAATCTATTCTTTTGAGACAGTTAATTGGTAGGTGGTGGGGGACCAACACATTTTAAGATGTTAGTTGCATAAGGGAATGCACATGTGGATGTGCGTCAGGGAATGCGTATGTAGATGTGCATCCCCTGACATACGCCACACTTTTCGTTTAATGAGACGTGAACCCTATTGTTTTGTGACGAGTGCAAAATGAAAGTATGGCATTTTCAAAAGGATGAAGTTTACAAGGCTTTTAGGCTTTATGAAAACCAAGTAAAGCTTCACTTCAAATCCTGCACTTTTGGCAACGAAAAATCTCTATGATGGTTTTAAAATCAATTTAATGAAATTTGAAATTCAAAAAATGGTATAGATATTGTGGATATGTGAATACTTACTTTATATTGTGGATATGTGAATACTTACTTTTAGGTTGAAATGGATGGTCTAGATAATTTGTTACACTGTACACGTTTTAAGAGCCTGAAATCCCAATTTTGTAAGAGCTTGAAATCCCAATTTTGTTTCACAGTCATAATGATCGATGCAAATAATGATCGATGTAAAGGTTTCTCAATGCTTGAATTGTAAATTTTGGGTTATAAGGTAAGGTTTATTTATTTTTATTATAACTACAACCCTATCAAACCATTTTCCAAATAGACTTTATTTGCTTTAAGTAGGTTGTTGCCGATTTATATTTGAACATTATGAAGATTGAGTCCTGACCAAGTTGCTTTCCAAGGAAGCCTGACGACCTCCTTGGTTGCTATCAGTGTATTAAATTAAGCAATTTTTTATCCAAGAACGTTGATCTAGATGGGAAGTGGTTGAGTTCAAACCGGTTCCGGAATCAGTTCCTCTTAAACCCCACCCACATCCTATTTTTTTTTTTATTGAGCTTGTGTAATGTCCTTAAATTCCCATCCCATGAATATCCTATTTTTATTGTATTTACTTTATTTATATTTTAATATTTTTGAATTACCGATTCGGATTGATTCAGATCCGATCAGGATTGTTGATCCAACGATCTGACTATTTGTGGGTGAACAACCCGTCCCACCATTTCAGGTTTCAAAACACTAGTAACTGTGATCCACCCGTGGGTCACAGCTAGTTATCGTGATCCAGCCATGGATCGCGCTTCTATCCTATAAAATATTAAGTTGGCTAGATGTCGTGTTACCCCGACCCGACCACCTTTGCTTCGAGGTTGTTGTACTAGCCAGGGGCTTTACTCATAAGATTGCTTGAAGGTGAAGTGTTTGAGCTCCGAGTCGGAGCGAAATCGGTGCTTTGATCTCTGGAGCACTTCTGAGGCCAGCAGATCACTTTAAGTTGAGTGCTTTAACTTTGCCCTTTCCTGATTTTGAAAAGTATCCATTCCTCCACTAATTTTGTTGGCGGATGGGTGTGTAAGCCAGGCTTTGATTTGGTATGGTCTTCCCCGGAGAGCGCATTTTAGGTCGAATAGAAAAATAAAGGTTTTTGTTAAAATGCATCTTTGAGATAAACTGTTTTAACATTTTATTCATATGTTAAAATACCGATTAAAATGCACTTGATTTTTCCAAAAAAAAGAGAGTAAGATCTCAGATGGTTAAAAGTTTTATATAAGGTTAAGTCCCTAAACAATCAAATTAAAGCACACTTGAAAAATTCACTAGAAGAGGTTATTTCAATGAACAAAAATCCTCAGACCAATCATCTCGACCTCGAGATGTATGGCCATGAAAAAAATGAATTTCAAGTCTTGAAAATAGTGCATTTTGTAATGTATTTTTTAGATTGTTAATTTTCAAGATTTATTCATAGATACGTTTGATTTGCATTATTTTTTAAGCTTAAAATTTTATTGTTAGATATAAAAATAGATTTTGAGGCCATCGCAAAGATTTTCAGTATTGAAACATCGTTTGATACTAATTAAAGATGGGATAAATTTGCCAAAATAACAAAATGTACAGACCATTTTAAATAAATGGTCTTTTGGTTGACAATCTCATATTTTAACAATTGTCTAGACCATCCATTTTGCAATATAAATGTGTTAAGAGATCCCCAAGATCTGTATATTTTTTTAGTTTTAAATTCCTTAGATAAATTTGCCAAAAAATAATATTTTTCTCTGGGTTTTCTAAAATAATATCGAGTATGTAGATGAAATTCGGAAATATTTATGACGAGAAACAAAATGAGCACAACAAAGAGTCACGCCATTTTTCTCTCATTACTCTCCGCCCTTCATCTCTAACTACACCCTTCTTCCTCCCTCTCCACCATTCTTCTGTGTCTAGGTCAGCTAGCTACCAAAGCCCCTAAAAAGTATCAGCCTTCTCTCCAGGCAGCTCACAACACTATAACATCATTATCATCCAAGTGACCAAGTCTTATCCCAATTATTACAGGACCGTAGAAAAGAAAATTTCTTGAGACAAATTACGGCACCATAACAAATTTTTTTTCATTCCAGATGGTAAACCAAAACAAACAAATAAATTCAAGATGGTGCGCCACTTGCAAGAAAGACAGAAACAAGAGAGGTGAGGCTCAATAAGCCACTAATCCACTAGAAACTTACCCATAAATAAAACAAAATCCCATCAGCACCATATCCAAAGGTTGGAATTAACCTACCCTGGATTAAAAATAGGATCCAACAAGCCAAATTTTTACGTGGTGAATGGAAATTCAAAACAACACGTGGTCCATACTGTTCCTCAACATCAGTGCTCATGTTCCATGCTCTTATGGGACCCTTCCATGCCTCCAATATTATCAATAACCCTAAAAAAGCAAGAGATTTAGCGTTTCATATTGCATTCAAAAGGATTATAATTATATGATAGAACCATATATGCAGAATTCAAAAGGTATAGAATTACAATTCAAACCAGTTACCATTATTACCTTGCGCATTGTACAATTTGTTTTTGTCTTGTCAATTGCCCTTGCAAATTGCGCATTTTCTGAGATTTTCCTTAGTCTGCCATCCCTCTACTTGATAGGTTGTCCCTTTGTAAGTGTGCATGGTGGCTTAAGGACGTCTTGGTGAGGGGAACCTTCATTTGCTTTGTTACTACGAGCAGTAATCATGGTGCCATCCTGTGAATCTCCCATGTGCCCTAAGTTAGCATCGACCCAACAATTGCGTATTTCGTACTCCGCGCTTTCCGAAACACGTTTTGCGAGGTTTCTAATTACTTTACAAACCTCGCTATATCGAATGGAGCTTGATAGTTCAGTGACCAAATCCCTATAAAATGTTGGTTGACCTAGCCATTTAATCTTGATCGGACGTTGGTAGGGGTTACTATTTCAATTTTAGTTTTTGTTTACACATACAACTGGATTAAAATAAAATTTGGGGCGTGCACATATCTCACCCTTAGGCACTTGAAAAAATAAATAAAAAATATAAAATGATTTAGAAATAAAGTACACCGACCATCAAAATTTCAGCCCAAACAAAGTTTTACAGGTAAAATTCATTAACACACTCCTAATCATCTGATGGAGATGGACGGTTGAGAGCTAAGCAGAAGTTACTGTAACACTTCGGTCAACACTTCCATATAATGTGTGTGTGTGGAGAGAGAGAGAGAGAGAGCGTTCACATTAGATACCAAAACCTGATCATAAGCCAAACTTGACGTACAATTTAATAAGAGCTACGGCAATGGACTACATGGAGAAAGTTCTAATGAATGCATGGGAAACACCATCCATTAGAAGACCAATTATGAAGTTAAAATTGAAACAATTCCTTAAAGTGGGGCATCTGGGTTTACTTTGGGCTTATCCCCCATCTTCTGTATCCTCTTCAGTTGTTTTACGAGATCAAGCCGCTCTGATGAGTATGGAGAAGGAATCTGTGTCAACAGTATAAACAAGTTAGCCACATTACATTTTTTATGAGTTTCATTACCAAAAATGAAAACTTTAAATGCATTTAATTGATTACATACAGTTTAATTGGTTTAGTGCAGTTTAACTATCATCAACTGGAAAAGTTTGTTGCGTAAGAGTTGCATTGATTTACCAATGAAGGAATGTATTTCTTGATAGCAGCCAAGATGGCAGCATGGCCCACAGCAGATACCTTGTGGTTACATGGGATAACAAATGAAGTGAGTTAACGCAGTTCCTTCATTTAACAATATTGCAATAGATTTTTGGTGGGTGTAATTGCCAATCGCAATATGAAAAAAAATTCATGAGAATCAGTCAGAGTTGACATTATGCCAATATCAGTTCTACTGCAAGTCCAATACTCTATTGGCATCAGCGAAGAGAAACTCATTTCAATCTGAGTCGACAATAGAGTTGGAGTTTTTGAACACTGATTAGCATTGACATAACAAGAATGTCAGCCTTAGCGCGTATAATATAAGGCAAAAACTTATTCTATCCAAAATTGATTTGCAGTTCAGGTTGTGGATAGTCAAGTCCAAGAAAAGGAGTACACCCACAAAGTACATGACCAAAAGGTTAAGCAAATCTCATAAAATATTGTTCTAAAGCATGCATTTTCCTATTTTATGTTTAGAAACATCTAAAATTAAACCTTTTAAGACCACATGAACATCTGAGATACTTACAGGAAGCAGCATGAGAATTGTAACTGGAATTGCAGTAGCAATATCGATTAGTGTCCTCGTCAACTTCTTTCGGTCCCTATTAGTAAGGTCTCGACCACAAATCTTCTGTATTAGTAGTGCGAAGGCAGCTGATACATCTGCGAAGAGTAGCCGAGTCCCCATCCATATATCCTTCAGAATGATTCAATACCATCAAGATTCATCTTCAACGACAATGTGTATTTAAACACACACACACAGCGAGAGAGAGAGAGAGAGAGAGAGAGAGAGAGAGAGAGAGTAGGTATACTACAGTAGCTCGACAGTATATACTACTTACTTTTACGTACCTTAGTTTTACTACTACTACTATGTACTTACGAACGTAACCGGTAATTAGTTTTAGAA